GTGTGTGTGTGTGTGTGTGTGTGTGTGTGTGTGTGTGTGTGTGTGTGAAGTTATACATGGAAAAGGAATGTATGTAGTATATTAGGAGATGCTTGGGAAATTTTGGTTAAATTATATTTTTTATAATGGTCTTTCAAATCAGAAGTTATCAAATATATTAAATGGGAGTATATTTATGATAGTGCTACATAGAAAATGCTTTTTTTTTTTTAAAGTAATTCTAGAATCACAGAAAATAAAGATGACAGAATGGATCCCATGAGACTTCCTAGGGGAAGCCTGATAAATGGAAAAGAAGAATCCAGCATATCAAATTAATGAAAAAAAAAATGGCAAAACCTTTGTTTTGAGAAGTAATGCTGTTGTACTTTTTAAAAAGGTAGATATGAAAACCCTACTATTGTTAAATACCAACTGGGATGTATGCTATGTAAAATGTTTTATTAGCATATATACCCATCACATGCTAAGTCTAGTCAATCAAACCCAAACCAGGCTAATTTCTGGTTTGTGCAAGTTTTTGATGAATCTCAGTAATAAGTCTGTTTGCAAATGTCAAAAAAGACCCTGGGGTTTATCCTTTCTACAGTGAATATTTGAACAAATATGTAAGTATTGTGTAAGTGTCATATTTTTTGTAAACTGTCAGTTATGAGTCCTGAAAGAACCTAGTTTGGGTTCTGATTAAATTAATATTTATTCTTGTTTTTGCTGAGTAACTGGTGGTTACTTTCAAGATTATTCATTTAATTATTTGAGTGCTTAATATATACTGTGATTTGGGGTATGGCAGGGGTTTGAAAGATAAAAGTAAGACATCATATCCTTAAGGAGTTTACTATTTATTAGAGTACAAGTAACAAATACGTTAATCACTAAAGTGAGGTTTGTTTTTGTTTTTGTTTTTTTTTGGTGGGATATTGTGATCTGTTGCTGGGACTTAAAGGGAGGCTTTGCAAAAGAGTTAACGGGAAGGTATTGCCAAAATCGTTAGGTCATTTTTGGCTAGTTTAAGGGAAGGGCATGTGGTGGCAACATTGAATGGAACATTGAGTTTTTTAAAGCATGGGCAACGAGGGAGCAACTAACATCTTCAAAACAGGAAGGGAAGGGATGTAAATAGGGATGTCTCCAAAGACTCCAGCCTAATGGTTTCCAGGCCATGGCAAGAGGAGGAAGTCTGTGATGCAAGAAGCTTCTCTCGGCACTTGGTACATGTTCATACCAAACCTCCCAGTTCAGTGGGTGGGACTCTCCATGTTATTCATCAAGGAAACTGAAGAGAACCAGGTATTTTATACAGGAAGGGGTGTAGTCCCACTCATTAATCTTTTGTTTTCCCACTTCTGATGAGACACCCACACACAAGTGAGGAAAGACCCTATATATAGGAAGGAGAGTGGCTAGGGCAGAGGCAGTCTGGTAGGAAAGATGTAATATGCATATGATTACATATGCCGAATTGATATTTCTCAATGAGGACTTCTGTTTCTGCAGTACGAAGTTAGTAACATGTTAAGTTTCTAAAAGTAATTTGAAGATATGCCAAAATTTTATCTCATTAACTCACTTCTTAACAAGGCTAAATAAAAATGCCTAAGAAAGGAAAGGTATGGTACAAAGTATTTTAGGACTTAGAAGGAGAGGACAAATCTAGTTTGTCAGGTATGAGGGGAGCTGAAAACTTTCATGATGGAGGCATGTGAGTTGAATTTTGTAGAGTGAGTAAGATGTGTGGGAAAATAGTAGGCAAGCATACATATCATACTGGAATTTCCACTAGAGTTTGAGTTAGAGGACATAGATTCAAACACTTGATTACCGTTGTCATCTTGGATAAGTTTTGATCATCTTGGACCTCAGTTTCCTCATCTGTTAAATGAGAAGATTGGACTAGGTGATTTCTGAGTCCTTTTCTTAGCTCTTGATTCTTTCAAACCAAAAAGCAAGTGACTTGAGGTCTATAAAGGTGCTTAAGTATGTTCTTTCAGAATATGTGGTAAAGAAGATTGGTAATCAAGTTAATCCTTTTTTAAAGTAAAAAAAAATGAAAGCTAACTAAATTAGTGATATTTACAGCAGAAATCAGTTTCAAATATGGAAAGATGTTTTCATTAGAATAAGTGTAGAGCAGTTGTTTGGAGCAGCCAGGTAGGTGGATAAGGAGACCCTAATTAAAATCTGGCCTCAGAAACTAGTTATGTGACCCTGGGCAAGTCACTTAATCTTTATCTTGATTTCTAAATCTGTAAAATGGGGGAAAATAATAGCACCTACTTCTTACAATTGTGAAGATTAAAATGAGATCATATTTGTAAAGTGCTTTGCAGATCTTGTGGCACCACATAAATGTTAGCTATTATGTCATCGATCACTTTGTCAATATGTTGAAACCTGTGAACCCCTTTTCAGAATAAGTTCGTTGCCTGCATTTCTAAGAGAAGGAAATAATAAATTTCAGTTTGGATGTTAGTTAAAATAAAGATGTATTTTTTTTCCTGCCAAAGTTGACACATTCTGACGTCTATGACCCCCTTTGGGGGGGAGCAATAGGTCCTAGATTAAGAACCTTTGGTCTAAGAGCCTTCTAAGGTGGCTAATATAACTTTAATTTGCAGGTATGTTAGAATTTTGTTTAAAAACGATCCCTGTTTATAATCAGACCTGAAGAATTAAGATTTTGTCTCCCACCCCCATGGCTCCCAAATCAGTAATTTCATGTGCTGTTGTGGGAAGAGTACTATCCTGTGATTCAGGAAATCTGGGTTTTAGTCCCAATTGTACCATCAAAAATAATACCTGTACAAAATATTTGACCTTATGGAAGCCTCAATTTCCTCAGTAAATTGAAGCTGGACTAGGTTATCTCGAAGAATCTGCCCACCTCTGCTGTTTGAAGGAGTTTGACCTCAGGGAAAGAGATTGAGAGCCTGAAGGGACAGTAAAATAGAGTTGCTTTTTTTTGTCAAGGTTAGAGCAAAACTGAACATATTTATGAGTGGCAAAAGGATTAAGTAGTGAGGGCTGTAGCTTGATGTATAGGAAAGAATTCTGGACTTGTCTGGAGACTTGGATTTACATTTTATTAGATGCAATTGTGATCAATTATCCTCACTGGAATACTGCAAGGAAATGTCTTTGTAAGCCTTGAAAGTGCTACATTAACAATTTTATTATAATTTTAAAGTTTACAAAGAACTTTCCTTAAAGCTATCTCTTGAGATACGGTTTAGGTGCTCAGTCATGTCCAACTCTTCATGATCGTGTATGGGGTTTTCTTGGCAAAGATACTGGAGTGGTTTGCCATTTCCTTCTCCAGTAGATTAGGCTAAGCGACTTGCCCAGCATTACACAGCTAGTGAGTGTCTGAGGTTACATTTGAACTCGGGTCTTCCTGACTCCAGACCCAGTGCTCTATCCATTGAGCTGCCTCAATCTATTGGGATAAGTAATATAAATTGCCACATTTTACAAGTGTGGGAAACAAGTTATAAATGGCTATTGGGTAAAATTTGAACCCAGTTCTCTCGACTCCTGACTCAGCACTTTATATACCATATTTGTGCTGCCTTAGAATGTGCCTTAATATATTGAGTTATTGAACGTGCAGAAGGCATGATGCAGCAAGGTCCCCTGGTATATAACATGGTTTTTAATGACTAATCTGCAAAATTAACCTAGAAAATTTACTATAAATAGTGAATTGTAACTTCATTCTTAGCCAGGAAGAGATTAAACCGCTTCTGTTTAATTTTGTTTTGACTCATAATGAACCTAATGGACTTACTGATTTTGATACTGTGATCTATGATTTTATTTTATTTTATTTTATTTTTT